TATACCATCATAGCCTGGACTTTTTTTAGAATTTAAGTTTTGTATTTCATTTTCGATTTCATATTTGGTTACTGGCTCAATAAAAAAATTATTCTTATTCTTATTAGTCAGATATTTGTCAAAGGTTATTTCACTGTCTGGAAGTTTTTTTGCTAGACCTGGTCCAATATTTACAAAATACTCGTTGAATTTATTTGCTATTTTGTACGGATCATCAATGATTTCATCTGAAGAGTCTCCGTTGAATTCCTTTGGTAAAATTCTATTGTTTCTATGTTTATTCATAATTTCATTAATTGTTTTCCATAAGCATTTTGTGTTATGCTTGTATTTTATTAGTAGTTCTTCATAATATTTTTTTTTTGCTATTTTTATTACATGATTCAATTTATTTTTATATTTTTTGTATATAATCTCATTTTTTATTAAAGGGCGATTTAGAAATTTCTTATAAAGTTTGTTCTTTTTTTGAACTGATTTTGAAATGCATTTTGTCATCCATGGACTTTTACTTTTGTCAAATTTCCTTTTTGATACTTTTTTTGTTAATGGGAAATTTTTTTCATAGGCTGTAGAGAATTTATTGAAGAATTCGTTATAAGACTCAGTAGTATTACTGTTGGAAATTACATCCTCCCATGATGTAGTTTTAATTGAATTACCAAATGATTTAATATTGGAATCATTGATGATCCTTTTATTAATAATTTCCATTTCTGGCTTAGTCTTATGTTGTTGATCTTTAAATTCGCGTATATGAAATACTGGTAAGTGATCAGAGATGTCACAAAAAAGTATCCCATTTGTGCTCGATTCTATAGTTTCCATATCATTAGTAAAAATATTGTCTATTAGTGTAGCTGTATGGTGAGATATTCGCGTTGGTCTCAGTATAAGAGGCATATACGATGACGTGAACAGTTGTTCAAGAAACCTATTAGTATAATCAGTAGTAGTACATTAGTATAAGTCCTCGGTTTTAATTTCGTAGCACAGGGAGTCTGTGTCTGTAAATAGGAGTTTGACTTCGTCTCCATATTTTGAGCGTCTTGCTCCTGTCTAGGATGCTCATTCCGAGGTTGATGGGTTTGTTCAGCTTTACGGATGTTCTTTTCATGTGAGCTGCCACAATGTTTTCGGAGAAGATGGTTGAGGATTTGAAGTTATGCTTTTGGGCCAGCTTGTTCCATTTCTTCTCGTCGTTGACGAGCCTGATGTCAACCCTATTCCTGACGTTTTTCATCGTCTTCCCGAATACCGAGTTGTTCATCAATTTGAAGAAGTCCTTCTCGAAGTCTGTAGTACCTTTGGTGCGTAGGTCCGTATTGAGTTGTATGTATTTCCCCAACCATGGTTTTTCGACGAATCTCACGTCCCGGTGTATTTTGGTTAACCTTAGTCCTAGGTCCAGGTACTGTTTTATTAGGGTTTTGTGGTGGACGACGTGTTTCTCCTTGTCATTTAGGTTTGGAATGAGCTTCTCCACCTTGTTGAACTTTATTCTCTCAGGCGGTAGGGGGTGTTCGTTGTGTTTGTCGTGTAGTTTTTAAGGGTACTCCAGGTCCACTTCGAGGATACAGCTGTGGTTTCCCCACTCTTCCAGCCCCTTGTCATCCATCCATTCGAAGTCCCTGACGGGTAGGGGTTGACTCATTGCCCATGCGTACAGATTGTTTGCGTCCATATAGGGATATATATGGATTGATCTTCACCTTTGCGATTGATGCCTTTTACCCATTTCGCAAGGTTTTTGCTGAGGTATGGGTTACCAATTCAACATCTTCATCGTCGTGGTCTTTCATAATGTCCTCCACTTCGGCCTAGAAAACGTCCAGCTTTCCGTCTAGGTCTTTAGGGTCCTTCTGAATGGTAGCGTCCAACTTTTTTCGACATTGGATGAAGCTTTCTGGTACTTTTGAGAGTCCGATGTACTTATTGTTTTCTTTTACCATGCCTTTCGGTGATGGTGCTGATTTCTTCGCGAATACCCTTTTCGGTAAATAGATTCATGTCCGGATCGGAAATAAGCTCCGATTCCACTTCCGTTAAGTTTAGTGCAGCGCCCCGGGTGAGTCCGGGCGCTGTGTAGTACCATATTGGATCCTGCAGTCCGTAGTTGGTCTTACAGACCTTCCTAAAATTTCCCATCACATTCGCTAGGAGTAGGACGTCCGTTTTTAGGTACAGGTTGTGGTAGTCCCTCGTGGTCTTCATATCGAAGACGTTTCACACGTTCTGCGCCCTTTTATAATCCACATCGCTGATGTTTTCGTTGTTCAGTTGGCTGAAAAATTTGGTCTTTGGCGCAAGTGATGCTTCTCCGAGCTTATCGAAACCATCCATGTATTCGTAGGGGTAAACACCCTTCTGTTTGAGCAGCTCCTTCTGTTTTTTGGTGTAACATTTTGACATTAGGTCCAAATTCGTAAAGTCGTTCTTACTCAAACCCTTGACGAGCCTGTCCAGGGAGCTTGGCATAAACTTGAACGAGTCCAGAAACCTCAGTTCCCTTTTGAACTTCATCTTCTTACCGTCCTTACCCTTAATTTAAACTCATCAACCTCTATTTCTTTGGTAAAGGAGATGTACTTTTCTTCCGTTTTGGGATTACATTTGATATCACCGCTGCTTACCCCGAGATTTCTGACTAATAGGTGAGCATCGCATGCTTCGAGATTGTGTAAGAGTACCAGAATGAACTTCGGTTGTTTCATTCTCAGACGATTACATGTGTTGTGTGGTACCCCTGTAGGTACCGATGTGATGATAGTGGTCCTTGACCTTATGGTTGTCAGGAGTGAACTCTTTTTTGCAGGCATAGCAGACGGTTGCCTTTTCATGATTTTCAATGTCTCCGGAGGACATCTCTTTGGGTTTTCCGCCGAATTAGAACCTGTTGTAGATATCATGGGTTTCCTCTTCCAGCATATCCACGAACTTTTCGTTACGTCATCTCCCTCATACTGTTGGGTGTAGTGTACTAGTTTGGGTTTGTAGATGGAGTTGTCGAAGCATTTGACGTAATAGCAGAATCCGCTTGGGTTATGCTTTTGGTACTGGACGGTGCTTGACTTGTTAGGGTCCACTGCGTCCAACCCTTCGATGTAGCACTCAAAGTCTGCATAGATGGAAACGGAACGGTTTGTCTTTTTCATAATTTTCGAACTAGGTGGTATTGCCGGGTTCTGGATACTCATACCTCTGGTAGTCGTTGTCCAAACATAGCTCCATATGCATTTCTAGGAGCCTGTCCGAACCGAATGCATTGAGGCATCGGTGGCAGATGTATATTTTGTGTTCCTTTTTGCTGATTTGTGCACTTACGAGCCTGGACATGTCTTTGATGACGCTGTAGTGGTTTTTCCATAGGAATAGTCTTATGGGATCGGATTTTTCGGTTAATCTTAGGGGACATACCTTTAAATTCTCGTCGGTACTGAATACGTTTACACCGATGCCGTTATTTTCTTCGAATTTTTTGAAATTGTCCGGATGTGTTGGGAATTCGGTTCCTTCCCAGTTTATCTTTTCAGACTGTTATTTGAGTTCCTTTGAGATTCTTTACGGATGGGTGTCGGTAGGGTTTGGCGCGAGTTACGGCCCACTTGAAGCACTCGTCGTCGTCGTTTTTCATATTGATGACCTGCTTCTTTTTAGCAATTGACTCGGGTAGTGGTTCGTGTCCTTTTCCCCTAAGTGGTTGGAATTCTTCGATGTGAATTTCGAGCAGATCTACCCTCCGCAGTCTCCACCCACTGCCTCGGTTTTGATAATCTGAAAAGTACTTCAGCATTTTTTCCTTCATGATGTCGTAAACCTCTTCTGTGTCGTCTTTACCGACGAGTTTGTGGGTTTTCGACATGAAGGGGATAACGGTGGATACTTCTTCCCCGGTTTTTGGATCTTTCCTTACTATTTCGCATGCTAGGGACATGCTTACGTTTATTGGTTCCGTTTCGGAATTTATCAACATTGTGACTTCGTCCTTCGTGATGGTTTGGAAGTAAGCTGGGTCGTACGCACCCTTGGGGTTAATGACGTACTTTTTACCTTCCTTTTGATATCATGCTTGGTCAGGATGGGTTTCAGGTTCTCCTTTGGCTTGTTTCAAATCTTACGTACTCAGCTTGTCCTCCAGTTTTAGCTGAAGCTAACCGAACTTCTTCTTGCCTTTCCACTTACCCTCTCTAATCCTGCGATTCTGCTCTGCGCGTCTCTCCCGTGCTTTCTCGTTCCTCCTCAACCTCTGCGACTCCTTTTTCCATTTCTGAGCTTCAGTATTCCAGTCGGGAACTTCTTTCCGTCGTTCTCTCTCCTCCTTCCTGATTTTGCGCTCCCATATCTTCACCTCCCTTGTTGCCTTCCGTGCGTCGGTCTCAATCTGCTTTCTGCGTTTGCGGAACTGATCCGCGGTGGTCTTGATCTCCTTTTTCCATCTTTTGGTTGCTTCTCTTTTCTCCCACTTAAACAATTTGTCGAAATCTTTGTTAATTTTGATCTGTTTTCTGAGGTCCTATTTTTCGATGAATCTCTGTGTCTTCCTGTATTCCGTTCTTGCTTTCCTCCGCCGCTTCTCCGTTTCCTTTTTTGCCAGTCCAAGGCGTCGTTTTTCATACTTTCAATAAGTTCGGACAAATGGTCCGAATGTTGTGAACTCTGGTTTAGGATTTCCATTATTTCATTATTTTAGAGAAGTTTACCTATGGTGTAGCCCAGAAGTTGATTCTGTTTTCCAAACCCATAAGGTTTGGAATAACAATGGAACCCAATCCAACATTCGATCCGCTTGTCCGAACTTATCGAAGGTAGGGTTAGTACCCTTTATTATATGTGCAAACGTTTTACCTCCTAAAGTTGATTCTGTTTTCCAAACTCAAAGGGTTTGAAAGTAGCGATCATGACAGGTTCAGGGAAATACGAATGGAATCGACATTATTTCTTTTGTTTTAAATAAAAATAGTAATGGGAGACTCATACTATTCCGACAAAGTTCAGCTTTACTCTAATTGTCCGGAAAAGGCGGAGCATATCCTTAAACTTTTCAAGGAGACCGGCTATTCGGATTTGGTTCTGATTGTAACGGTGAAACACCTTGATGACGGCTGGTCGATGAGGGATCACGTTAGACCCAAGGGGGATGATGGAATTCGACCCGTTTACTTCTTCCACGGCAGAGAGATCAAGGGAGTTCACATCCTTGTATATCTTCCAGGTAATATACGGATAGGAAAGTGCTGGTTGAAAGTCCAACCGAACAGATATACCTCGGAAGACCCAACTGTTGGTCGGAATGGGGTATTAAGTCCATTATTCTTAAGGCGGAAGAAGAAAACGAGGATGAGTCTTTCCCTTGAGCCGTACTTATATGACAAAATTTAACCTTCGGACCGATCTTAAGGTTGATTTAGTTACGGTAAAATTTAAGGTTATGCTTCATGTGTTTGCACCAGAAGTCCTTGGTTATTCCCTTCCGGATCGCCCATAGTGTACATTCGAGACATCGTTTTTCAGCCGGTCCTGCCTTCGGTTTTTGGACCTACTTTGTCTTTCCGGAGTAATGTTCGAACATGTTTTCTGTTGGCATGGCTTTTATTCTAGGAAGAGACTTGTTTTTAAACTAAAATTTTAATGCACTTTTTACATTAATTTCGGCATCCATCTGCATTTCCTCCAGCATTTGCATCTCCCCTATCCGTGCCTCCTCTATAACCTCTACGCATTCTGCTTGCATTGCTTTTTCCTCTTCCCTTTCCTCCGACCATTCCTCCCAAGACATACACATACGGAACCAATTATTTATAATATCCGTGGGTGGACCTATGTGGATCCTATCCTCTGGACTTTCGAGCCAACAACCAATCACATCAACAGATTCGGAAATGGTAATTAGGATGCCAATGCCTTTCAGACTTCCGTAAACATAACCCATACCTCGAATTTCAGCGTTCCGACCCATCCATCCTTTCCCAAACTTAATACTATGTTTCGCAATTAAACCTATTCCACCCATGGTTGAGATGATGACCGTCATATCCTCGTAGCTAGCGTACTCACACATTCTTGTGATGCGATTCATTTATTCAGGACAGTTGAAATAGAGTTGGGCTTCGTTATCCGTTCCCCTGAGTGGTGTCATGATTGCTTTACTTGTATGTAGGAAAGTCTTGTCTATAAATTGTTGATTTTGAACTTGAATCTACTTGGGTCCTACTTGAAATTATTTTGAGACACTTTTGAGAAAAATTGAGGTTACTTAGGTTTTGCTTGAATCGTACTTAAATTTACTTGAGACCTACCCGGAATTATTTTGAGGCACTTTTGAGAAAAATTGAGAGGACCTAACGTACTTAATTTTTGGCTTAATAAAATAAAACATGTCCGAAGAGAACCCGAGTACAGTTACAAAACCGGTAAAGACCCACGTCAAGGATCCGTAAAAAGTGGAGGCAGGGCGCAAACTTGCCAAGATCAGTCAGGAGGCAAAAGCCAGGAAGCGCACACAACTCCAAGAAGCAGCTAAGGAAGAGCAAAACGCTCTGGACGCAGAAAATAGATGTAAATGGCCTGTGATTACCCTGGAGGGAGTTGGTATGGTGGTAGGTATTGCTGTAGGACTCGGATCCCTATACGTCATGTGGTGTAATCGTCGGGAGAAGAGCGAAAAGATAGAGGAGAGCAAATCCACAGGGGAACCACAGCCTACATTAAACCCGCAGGGTAGTCCTGACCTGTTTGACTGAAAAGAGAAATAGAGAGTGTAATAAAACAATGTCACAGTTATTCTTGGACATACTAACCTTTTTCATAGCAGCCGGAACCGTACTGATTTACATCCACACGGTTGAGGCGACAGAAGCCAAACGCTAGGCGATAGAAGCCGAACGCAAGGAGAGTGAACACAGGATGCTCAACACCTTGAAAAGAAAATTCTTTCTAATCCTGGAAAAGAGGCTGAAAGACAGGAACGTTTAGGAGAAATATTTCTGTTATAATAAAACGCAACGACCGACACAAAGAAAGAAGTGATTAATTTAAATATTCCTTTAATCCTATTTAATAATTTATTTAGAAATTTTCTCCTACTCTCCGGTTCTTGACAGTTTATCTATCCATACTTATTTTTTATTTTTAATATTGTCCAACTTTCGAGGACGTGGTCTATCTATCCTTATATTATTATTTATTATCTTTTTTATGTATACTAATTTATTATCAATTCTCCGATCCAGTGCTTTACATATTTCATAAGATAATTCCTGTGAATAGCTAACTGTCTAGATTACCCTAGTTATGATTATTACAGTTAGCTCTTCACCCATTCATATGTTTCTTTATTATTTATTAAATGTGTTGTATATATTTTGGGTGAATAATTAATAAATTGAATTGAATTAAATCGAATAAACGAATTGTACGATGCCACACAACTAACGACCGGAGTCGTTGGAGTATCCTACCTTGCCTCGGTGCACCGATGACCCTGGAAGGAACGGCGAAGTTGGCTGTTGCCGTAGCCGGAAGCGCATTTACCGTAGGGTATCTGAAAGATAAGGGATACATTCCCAAAACGATCGATAAATAAAGAATGACATACGTCGTAGTCGGAAGACTCTTTAATGACGTGGCATTTGCCGGAGCAGGATTCCTTTTCTCAAAATTAAATGGACAGGGGTACAAGGAAGAAGTGAAAAGACACAACCAAGCACTGGAGAAACTTTCGAAAGCAAAAGAAAAATTTTATGAATCCGAAGTGAAGCCGAGGAACGACGAAGCTCGACGTCGGGCCGAGATCCTGGATGCTAACAAGGACATTGAGGATACAAACAGCGAGCTGGAAGATTTAAGAGATTTTACGAGACTTATGGATGTCTCGCCATCCCAGCGCAGGCCGAAATTGAAAGATTATTATCAACCGTCGGACGAAATGAAAAGGTATGCTATGATGACGATGGGTATTTTAGCAGTTGGTGGTGCCTACGGATTGACACGAATATTTTAAATCTTACGGAAAGATTTAAAAATCTTATGCTGTCAGAAGGAAGCAATTTATGTTTGCAGTTCGTGTTCTGTTGGTTACACTTCCAGCAGAGTCTATGTCCTTTGATTCCATACCGAAATTTTCTACTTTAGAATTTGTAGTATCACCAGTAACGAAAAATGTGAATGAAACTTGGATGATCCTGCTGCTTTGATCGCGTGTAAAAAGAACAATGGTTCCTGCACTACCCACGTAAAACCCGTACAAGAAGGAGAGTGTTGCTGTGTTTTTTCCGTCGCTGATGTTGAACCTGATGAATTTTGCGTTTTTTTCTCTCTCCGTCGGAAATAATTGGAGTTTGTAAAAACCCGGGTGGATGTCCAGGTATTTGAGTAAAGTCGTATTGTACCGAATTTTTTCCAAGACTATTTAGTTTTTTGATATCGTTCGTATGTGCAACTATTTCTGCTGTGTTTCCCTGTTGTCCCTTTTCAACTACTGTTAATTTTTGTTTTAAGGTGTTCATATCTTCTGCCGCTGTATCGAAATAGTCGTATCCGAATAAGATGCTCATTTTTATTTTAATGCCAGATTAAGTATGCAACCGCTATTGTACCAATGATAATATTCTGACTGTCAGACTTCTGTCTTAACCCCGGTTGTTTAAAATCTTCCGCGGTGGGAATTGGTGTGATAGCATGACTGGTACTTGGACTTAGATCGGCAGGTTTTACTCCGGTGTAATTAACCTTTTAATTTTTTCCAAACATCATCCCGTTTTTAGCCACCTTTGGGATGTTGCTGAACCCTTGAATGGGTTTCGTCAGAATCCTTAAGTCCGAAGGGATTAGGATTAAACCTGGCATAATTGCAAAATTTAGAATAACATGGGTGTTGCAAATAGCCGTTCGCATATTGGAAATGGTAACCATAACATCGTCCTGAACAATCGTGTCCTTTACCACCTTCCGGAAGACTTCCTGTGTTTGTAAGCTCTTTGCACCCTGTGCCGTAATACTCCATCTGGTTTTAGCCTGCGCCCCCAGGACGGAATACACGAACGCGTCGATGGACTGTTGAAATAGCTTTTGTCCAATTGTGGTGAGTCCTCGGGATGTTTTAGGAATAAGGGTCTTGTAATCGTTTTCAACGCTGTAGGGGGACCTGCCGGTCAGGTATTCGTATTCGATAAATGTGCCTCCGTATTTGGTCTGACGATATTTCTGACGCCTTATTCTTCCCCCTTTCGTTCACAGGCTTATCATAGTAACATGTCGCAAGGTTTGCATTGGAAGAGTCCGTTCTCCTTTCCCACGTTTCGTGAACGGGTGTAAATTTTCGAATGGTTCGAATATCATCCTTCGTTATGTACTGATCCAGAAGTTTGGGATTACGCAATCTCGAAAGGAGGAAATGGAGGTGAAAGCGAACGATGGAGCTTACTATATTGGAGTGCGAGTCGGGAATATTATTCGTAAGATGATCCTCAGAAATTCCACACTTAAACATAGCAACGTAGGATGCAGCCAGAGAGCAAAAGTAGGAATTGGAGTGATAGTCGAACGGTAGTATGTTGATGAAGGTGTTCATAGGCTTATCATACACCGTTTGATGGGTTCTAATTTTGTTATAAAACTTTCGGTCTCGTAACATAAATTTTGAAATTGTGCACATTCATTTTAAAGTTCTTATTCAGGCGAAAAATCATGTCAGGAAGAAGGCTTCGGCATCCCTCTACCCAATGGAGGTACTTCGTCCACTCAGGATTTGTACGGAACGTATCGGACGTAATGTCGTAGCTTGTCAGATCATCCACTTTGTAGAAGATGTCTCTGGGCTCCATTGTTCCGTCCTTGGCAAAGGTAACCTCAAAGTCGAATTTAGACAGGGTTGCGTTGGGATACTTTTTCCTAAAATTTTCCTTCATTTTCCGGATTTCAATAGGTGTTGCCGACTTCACTTTCTCGTAATTCTTTCCCTAGTAGTTGCGGAAGATATCTTCACTCAAAGTTCTAACAAAAACGTCTCCCGGAACAACCCCTGTAGTGGATCCGATTTCGAACCGGATTTTGCTGTACCTTCCGGCGTCTACCCGTACCTGACTTTCAATGTCGTTGTACTTAGTCACGGTTCCGAAAAGAGGTTTGGTTCGATCGATCGGAAAAGAGGTGATGATAACACTCCGATTTCCGTCCGGTTCGATGTTGTGTTCACGGTTAACGAGGTTACAGCTGGCCGTTAGATACCGCAAACCGTTGTGAATATCTACGGGACGGTCGCTGATGTGTGGAGTGTACGTAGGACCGTTGGAGGACCGGTAGCCCAAAATCCCTGTGAGATTTTGAAGACCCACTTTTTTCGTCCCGCTATCGAAGTCGATCTTTATTTTCCGTCGGTATATTTCTTGAACGTCAGTCCGTTTTCCTCCATCTTTTTTTCGTAGCTGTTTAAACGTCCAGTATCCTTCATCCATCATAACTTTCTTCCCATCTACAGAAATGTAGTTGTTGTAACCTGCGCGAACGTTTTTATAATTCCAAAACACGGCGGCAGTTTTTACGAAAAGTTCGGATTCGTGTGTAAGAACCAAAGGATTCCAAAGATCTAGGGTAACCCCTCCGTCCTTGATGTAAGTCGTTATCTTCTTCATGTTTTATTTACCGATAATAAAATGAGTTTGCAATTGGATGTAGCTCTTCGGGAAATATATTTTAACGTCAAAGGTGGGTACATGTCAGTGGAAAAACTATACCAAAAGGCAAAGGAAGAAGGTGTAAACACAAAACACGTACATCATTCACAAACCATCCAGGAAGCATTACAAAACCCAAAGGATATATGTGGACGGACTGGCACAGCAGATTCAAATGGACCTTGTAGATATGAGCAAGTTCAGCTACAAGAATAAGGGAAACCGTTAGATTTTGACTGTCATAGAGGTTTTGAGTTGGTATGCCTTTGCCGTTCCCGTCTGGCGAAAAAATACTGACAGTATGACGAAGGCCGTTGAAAAGGTACTCGACGACGGAAAGGAATTCTACAATGTAGGAGTAAATACGTTGCTAAAGGATCAGGATGTTCATTACTTTCCCCGAGAACCTTCCGGAAAGCTGCACTCGTCGAGAGATTTAATAGGACTTTAAAAACAAGAATGTGGAAATATTTTACGGAAAACAATACGAAAGTTTAGGTGGATTTTCTACCTGCCCTCGTCAAGTCCTATAATAATTCCACACACAGGACGATCGGGATGAAACCGGCAGACGTGAACGAGGAGAACAAGGACGAAGTTTGGACAAGGGTTTATGGATATCCACTGGACAGTTTTCCAAAACCAAGTTCAAAGTCGGGGATCATGTCAGGGTGGAGATAAAACAAAAGACCTTTGAAAAGGGATACGAACCCAATTTCGACAACGAACTATACGTGATCACGACAGTGCTTCGGGAAGATCCCAACTTGCACAGTCTTAAGGATCCAGATGACGGGGAAGACATTTTAGGAAGTATTACGAACAGGAATTATGTTCAGACTTAAATAAATATGGAAACAGTGGAGATGCATACTTCGACCGACCGGAAGGTGGTGACGAAGCCGAAGGAGGTGAGGACGAAACGATCATTGACGAAGACGACTTCATCGATCACCTCAACCAAACTGCCGACAAACTAGATGAAGCAAAAACCTCCACCTTCCGTGATGAGAACAGGGAAGACAAATACGAAAAGAGGAAAAGGCGAACAGATGAACTGCGCACATACGGAAAATTTGATACCATAAGGGGAGAATTTGTCAGAAGGTTGTTGGGAAGTGAATACCGAATAGATTTGAACGACGGAGAAAATTCCAAAGAATTTATCGATCATTTGGACAGCACTAAACATGAGCGGAAATTTAACGGAACCGTTGTCGGATACATCGGTACGAACGGTGCGTACAGAATGTCCGAAAGTGGAATTGAAAGATAACCTCGAAAGAGAAACCGACGACGACAGACGACAGGTCACACAGAGGGCGGTGGACGTTGCCGAACAGGTCATCAACGATGCAAGGTTGGAAATGGAACAGGTACCTAGGTCGGAAGAGGGAAAACACAGATACAGGCAAATAGTAAGGGACAACATCCGAACCAAATTCAAGAGATTCCGCGCGCGGGCAACAGAAAACATGGGGGTGTTAGCCGCCATTACCATCTCCATTGCCGGAATCATCACTACGGTTGTAGTGGCTGGGAAGAGATCCATTGTTGCAGCATTCAAAGATCTAGGAACCGTTGGTAAGGCAAAGGCAATGTTCGCAAAAGCTGCACTGCCAATCCTGGTACCTATTCTAAATATGTTAAGTACGCTCCTAAGTTGGGGAGCCAAGGGTCTTGCCTTCCTCGCCAAGAATTTGTCGATTGTAGCGATCGTGATTGCTGGAGCTATATTCAGGTACCTGCAAAACAGACGTAAAAAATAAATATCTTTTCGTGGTATAATAAAATATAATGAACCGAACGGCTGAACTTATGCCTGATTTCCGACGTACAGACAAGGCAGAAATCACCGGAGATAAAATCAGACACGTCCTAACCTTCAACCCCAACTTTGCCAAACCCGGGGAAGAAATTTACGTTAATATTCCAACGCTAAAAGCCGACTCCGTTCTCGTACCGGACAATATGGCTTTGGTTTTCTACTTTAAGAACAGTAACATAAAATTCTGATTCAGAAACAACTTAGGAAAACTACTCCAAAAAAGATTAGAAATCCGTCTCGCAGGGTAAAAGATTTACGACAACAGTGGAGAAAGTGTGCTGGAGGTCTATAAGGACCAATGGTTACACAGGAAATAGCGCGACGATATGGTGGGGAACGGCATTGCTAGCGAAACCACGAGGAAGAAAATATCCAAGAATGATGCCGCAAACGATGATGTGGATGCTACCGCATTGTTTGAAGTATTTGGAACGAAACAAAGAATCCGGATCGGTAAAATCATAAAAGATCACGGACTTTACGCTCCACACAATATGGCAAATGATCTACAGTATGTCATGACCCTACCAGAGGCAGATGAAATAATGAAAGCGCAGGGCGGGAAAAATGTAGAAGGGTATACCCTAGAAAACATCGAGTTGGAGTACGAATCCATCAACAACATCGGATTGGCAAGAAAAGTGGAAAGTCAGTACAACGTTGGACGTAAGCTGTCTTTCGAACACGCCATCCTGATGAAAAAGACGGAATGGAGTGAGGACTCCACCATTATCAACGAAACGATCAACGTGCCACGCAGAAGCATGAAAGCCATCGTCATGTTGTTTACGAACAAGACAAGAACAGACAGAGAAGAATATGTTTACCCCCAACATCGAAAAGGTTAGGGTAACCGTGGAAGTCTATAGTCAAGACATTCCAAAGACGAGGTTGTACGAAGAGGCAAGACGATTGTTTGGCACCGGTGAAATCAGTCATCAAACACTAACCAACTTTTTCAAAGACACAAAGTTAGCGCTGGTCACCTATCTCAGAACAGTAAACGATGTCAGCACATTTGGAAACGGTGCTAATATTTCAGAACACTCAGTCCGGAATACTGGTGGAAATCACGAAAAAAGCTACAACTGCGAACGTCGTATGTTACATGTTCGTTCTTTTCGACGGCGTCATCGGAATTAAAAACGGACAACCCACCGGAGTACAGTACTAAAATTTAGGGATGACAGTTTTTTCCAAACCTAAAAGGTCTGGAAAATTTTCATACTTAGTTGTCAGTGTCCGTCTATGGCTCTTCTTCTTCGGAAGGTGGTGGTGGTTCGGGTGTTCTCCGGTAAACATGCTTTACGGCCGGTTGTCACTCCACCGCTAACGATACCTAAACAGGGTATGTACGGGGACAGCTTGCCCACCACACTTTTGATATCACTCCTGAACAGTTTGTCCGGATTTAATTCCGCTTTCAGCTCTTCCCGACTGTCCACCATGTTGATTGCTTCCATAAGACCGGAAATTTATCGATCAGGGCTTCATTCAGCACGATGTTTGCCTTTTCCCTTTATGCAACGACATAGTCTTTCCGGACTTTCATAATGACTTTTTCGGACGCTTTTCTGAGATATTTTTCAGACTGGGTAATCTCCCCTGCATTGGACTGGCGGATAAGCTCCGCCCTATAGTTCTCAATCTCCGTATTTTCTGCGGTCTGTAATTCCGGTTCCATTTCTTTTATTATAACATCGGACTTTTACCTCGTGACTGAACGGATGTACCAGGTTTACCTCAAGATGAGCGTATTTGTTTTCCTTCAGCTTTTCCATAATAGATTTCATTTCCGCACTGTCAACAAAAAGATATTCGTCCAAAATAATCTACATGTCCTGTCTGTTCTGTTTATAGAATGTTACCAATTTCGAAATATTTTGTCGGTATGGTTTGGCAATGGAAGTCAGTTGGTGAGCTGATAACGATGGTGGAAATACTCATGTGACGTCCGCTAAACCCAAGATCGACCAGCTCCCCCATACGGTCCTTCACGGACTTGGTGCTGGCACAGTCGTCCAGGATGATGTGGGATTCCTTTCCCTTTGTGAATCCACGACAAATTTAATATACTCCTGCACGTCTTCCTGACGGCAGGGAATGACAAAGAAATTGTCGTCCTCGTGGATGAAATTCTGGTCGTAGGTTTTATTCTAGTGGGACAAATTAAAAATATGTTTTCAAATTGATGAAAAAACGTGGTTTTCAATTCCTGAATGAGGTAGAGTGTCTTTCCACAAGCTGTCATAACTACGATAATCATGTTGAATGGCATTTTATTTTCCGGTTAAATAAAAGTGGGATGCTTGTCCATAAAACCTGACAGAATGAAGTACAACAAAAATCATAAAAGGAGAAAAATGTTTAACCTCGGTATCGGTATTGAACGAGAAGACATCACGATGAGCTCACATACCCAGATTGGTTACGCCAGCGCAAATGTAAAAAAATATAATAAACAAAATGGTGAAAGTACCACGGAAGCTGATGTGACTGTGCCTGATCAGCTGTCTATTGATCCCCATAACGGTTGAGGTCCTTTTCGTCATCGTCACCCTAAAATTACGATTTCAATTTTAATGCTTAATAAAACATTAAGATTACTCAACATACTCCCAACCTAGTGTCTGAACCTAGTGTCTGATTTTAAGTAACGACTCATCCACATAAACTACAATCCTAGATATAAAACATGCCTTC